GCCGCCGGTCAGCTGCCCGCCAGCCCGTTCCCGCCTATTACAGGCCAGCCGGGAACCAACTCTGTTGTCCTTTATTCACCCTGAAAAAATAGAAGATTTTGTGACATTGAAGGGACTTGAACATTGACCCTTGACCCTCAAAGGAGGAAGCCTCACTCATAAACCACCACACCAAACTTATTTTTGTGATATTCTTTCAGTTACACAATATTTATATAAACAATCAACGATTTTTAAAAAATAAAAAACAAATTCATTTCAACACCGATTCGCGCAACATTTGTACCAAATCCCTCATGCTCTAGAGTTATACATAACAAAACAATTTATATATCAGGAAGAGGTATGCAGTTTCTGTTTTTCTGCATTGTAGTTTCTTTTTCATAATGAAGGTGATTAAAGCATTATACTGAACTATAGTACGCAAAACTTGCAGACATAAATTGAACTATAAGAAACATGAAGTAGAAATTTCATACCTCCCAAGGTGCTATGCTTTTCATGTAGAAAGTAAGTCCAAAAACTACATGACAAAACCTATGAACAAACAACCTAAACAAATCAAATCAATAAATAAAAATATGAACTCCACACAAGATTCAAGCAAATCAGTTACTTAAATCAGCTAGAGGTATGCAATTTATCTCATGTTCTATTTTTCTACATTGTAGTTTTTGTTTTTTTGCATTGCAGTTTCTGTTTTCTACAATGCAGTTTCTATTTCTGCATTTCAAAAACCTCACATGAACCATAATATGGCTTAATGGCTAAAAGCAGTTTGACCAAATTTCTATAAAGAATAATAAAAGAAAAGGTGAAAAATAAATATAAACACACAAGTTCACAAAATAACAAACTTTGTGAGCTGCATATACATGAAAAACACCAACCCCCAAGAAAGGGCTAAGCGCACTCTAACTTGACAATTAGCTTATCATTTTACACATAATATACACTTTCATGGTAGTATGCAATTTATCGCATGTTTTGTTTTTCTACATTGCAGTTTTTGTTTTTATGCATTGCAGTTTTTGTTTT